TGGAGGGAGAGAAATCGGAGGCAAACTTTTTGTGTAGGGGCGGGGGGGGGGGGGGGGGTAAAAAAAAAAAAAAAAAAAAGAAACAAAATTTTTTCAAACAAAATCCATCCCGAGATTTCTCCAGAACGTCGCCAAATGAAGGAGAAAAAAAATTGGGTTCTTTGCTTCACCAACCTTCCTCCATCACCTCCCCGCTCCTGGCTGGAGGCGCTGTCACGCATAGCTCAGCAGGCTCTGCATTTTCCTCACCCGTAGGCGTCTCCTTAACCACCTCTTCCTCCACGTGGGATTTATCCACCCCCACTTGACCCTCGTCTACCTCGACCTCTTCCTCCTCCTCCTCCTCCTCCTCCTCGTCTTCCTCCTCCTCTTGTTGCTGCTGCTGCTGCTGCTGCTGCTGTCGCTGCTTGTTGCGGCAGCAGGGTTTGAACAAATGGGGGTCGATGAGCACCTCCCCGAAGCGGCCCTTGTATATTATTCCACAGCACACCTTTTGCCTGCAACAGAGCGAGACGCGTTGCATCAGATGTGTGTGTGGGGGGGGAAATGCCAGGAAGATTAAAGCTGAGTGTGTTAACAAGCTGCAGTTAAAAGTGTAACTGCGAAAATCAGCACAGAACGGTGTTAAAGCGTTTTGTCGACTACTAGATTAATATAAGCAGTTCAAGCATTAAATTGTCTCCTTTACAAGAAAAATCGTCTGATGTTTTCTTTGGAATTTTTAGGACAATTTTGAGTTCAAAATATGTTCAAAATAAATATTCTAAACACAAAATGGTTTTACGATCTAATTGATTAAATGCTCCCTTTACTGTGATGCAAAGTATGCAACTTTCTGTAAATCTGCAGACAGATTTGCTTTGCTTCATAGCTTATCTAAAAATGTTTATGCCTCCTTGTAGATTTTGTGTGTTTTTGCTTTTTTGTTACACGTTCTGAAAACCTTTGTTAATTGAACAACAGATGTAAATACTTCAATATTTGTCTCATAAATCCACAGAATATTTTCCAAAAATTCTTGGAAATTTCAGCACACATTACACCTCACATTCATATTTTCACCTGTTTTTTTTAATTATTACTAAATATATGAAATATGACTTTGTGTTCTTTTTGCCCAGCAATTGTTTTCACCAGCTCAATAACACTGACTGAAAGGAAGACGTTTTGTGTCTTTTTTTTTGTTTTTGTTTTTTTATTGCTCTCAGAGTCGTTCTATGGGAGTCTAAAGTCTAAAGTCTAAAAGACTTTGTAATTATTTTCAAACTAATATGCCTCATTTCCACAGAGCAGTACAGGACGACCTGTAAATGGCAAAGTGCTTTCTAATTGATCTATAAATAAATATTTGAACAAATCCAAAATGCTAATAATGTCCAGAGAGAAAAATGTTGTTTTCATGTTGCATCTAAATGAATCCAACAAACTACACTGAATGGAAATTAAACCGCTGATATTACACGTGGCAGTATCTTCTTTTGCATACATAAAGTGTTGATCTGTTCAACGTGATGTGGAACAGTCTGTGTCTGTGTTCCAGCATCAGGTCTACCTCTTCCAGTAAGTGAGGTCCAGGAAGGAGAAGACTGGGGAGCGGCTGGACCCGGGGCTCAGCTCGCTGTCGGAGCCGTCGTCGGACAGGTTGCTGTAGCTGGGGGACTGAGCCGGAGAGGCACTGGAGGTTGTGCTGTGGGCGTCTGAGTCTGGAGAGCAGAGCAAAGCACAGGAGCGTGCTATTTTTGACAAAAACTAAATCTCCACTCTTGTTGTTAGCATGTACTGGTGGCAGGGAGAAGCAAAACTCAGAACTAACTGTTTCTCTTGAGCTCCTTCTGCAGCCTGCTGATCTGGCTCGGCCGAGCTTTCTTGGAGATGGTTTTGATTTTCTTGGGCCTGGACGTTATCTTTAGGCTGGGGCCTCCTCTGGCATCAACGACCTGCACACAACAAACATTCACTTTTTAATAATATTCTAAGGTTCCCACCATTCATGCAAAAAAAATTAAATTGGCTCACATTTGATCATATTGCAATCTAAACACTTCAGGATTTTTATGTGATTGACCAACACAGTGTAGCTTTAATTTTGAATTGGAAGGAAAATTATGATGGATTTTTATACATTTCAAGTGTAAAACGTGTTTGAAACACAAACAGGATTTGATGTAACTCACTATTGTAGCTCTGGTAGTTTATGGACTTGCTGGTACAACTCAAGTCCTTTACTGTCTCCAACTGTTTTTGTTTTCAGGATTACAATCTGAATAGTTTCCCTGTCCCTGAAATAGAAAAGTTTCCCCTACAGCATGATGCTGCCACATCCATGCCTAAAATGGGAGAATGGCGTCTTTACAGCAATGTGCACAAATAGTTTCCTGCCACACATAAGTTTACATTAAGACAAAAAAATATCACTAGATTTGCAGTTATTCCATACTCATTCGAAACTCAGATAAGTTCTCTGTGTGATGCTCAAAGTTAGGATATTGTTATATAACGAACCACGATTTAAGCTTCTTTACAATTTATGCCCGACCTGTCTGACGTGTTCCTTGGTCTTCAAGAAGAGGTTTGTTCACTAATGTTCTCCAGTGAACATCTGAGGCCTTCACACGGCATCTTATTTAATTTGGGGTAGATGTATTAATAAACATCTTCCTTTGGATTGTTGTGAGTGGTTTTATCATATAAAACATGGATAAATGTGTAAGAAAAGCCAGACTCACATGGTTCCAGTTTTTCTTGGTTCCCACTGGAAGCTTTTTCCATCGCTTCACAAGGAGGACGCAGGCGTTACAGATTTCTCCTGATCTGGTTTCACTCAACCTGCAAAAAAAAAAACAGTTTGATGCAACTCACGATGCATTGTGACCAAAGGCTTCGCGACACAGAACATGTTCAGGTGGGTCTCTTACCCGAAGCAGCTCCTGAAGTCCTTCTCGTACCGCTTGCTGTCTGTGAAACGGGAGCTGGAGGACTTGGCCCGGCAGATGCAGCAGCCGTCCAAACTCCGGTACATTTTGGGCTTATGAAAGCCAAACATCTGCATGCACACATATTTAAATTTTAGCACCTCATCATAACAATTTATCATCATAGAGTGCAGTGCTACACATTCTCTACCACGAGATGAATCTTGGAGAATAACATGGAACAAATCAGATGTGCTTATTATAATAAATTAAAAATACATTTAATAATAAACATCATGCAGAGTTAGAGACATTGGGGGAGCATCTCTGTGCTGTGACCCACATGGTGGAAGTAGGTCAACAGTCAGACGGCGTGTCAGACAGATAATGTCACCATGCTGCGCTCACTGGATTCACGCAACGTTTAGGAAACTCGTGTCACGCATCGAGCACCGCAGGCGGCCACACATCATGCAATATTGCGCTTACATATAACCGTGAAAATTTTTGCTGCGTTTCTGGCCGCATCTTAAAATGAAAGGGGCATGTCTGCGGGAGGAGACTCGAACACCTACAAGCGTGCAATATGCAGAAGTGCACGCTGATTTATGTTGCTAGGCAAAATGAAATCTCCCAGTACACATGTGGACCAACTGCGGCAAAACTGGGAGCCGCGCCCCCCAGACTGGATTTTCTTTTCTTTTTTTTTTTTTCCTGCCATCAGTCCTTGGGGTCTTCTGACAGTGCGTTGCCACACGGATCATGCAGGGATGAGAAAAATTCAGAGACTTCTCACTCTGCTGCTAATTTCACATGCGGACTAACATAGTAGATTTTTGGTTTTATTTGATTTTTTAACGAGTTTCACGCTTCTTGATTGAATGAGAAATGACGCAGATTGGGTTCTGCATCAGTTCTCACGATGCAGAACCCAATAATTAGATTGGAAAATTATCTGTCATACTCGCTAAATAAAGATGCACAAATTAGCTTTATTCTGGGCAATTCCGATTTCCTTTTTTTTTTTAAGGTTTGACCTGCCAATTTAATTTAAAAATTTCCACCCCAAGGAGAAACATGTGCTGCCAGTTTGTTGATCCAAGTAGAAGCTTGGAGTCCAAGAAAATATTAACAGATTAAAAGAATATCCTTACTTATGCCTCAAAGCATGTGCCCTTATTTGTATTAAACTCAAATAAATCGAATAAAAGGACATAGTGTCCATTATTCTGTCATTAAACTAAAAATCATATTTCTTAGTTTGGATGTGTTTAATAATTAAGAATGAATGCATATTTCTAAGTATCTGACCTGCTGATCACTGCTCAAAAACAAATGTACTGATTCTGTTTTATTTATTGTGAATTTACTGTGTTTTTGTTTGATTGACTCAATAGGAATCCTGCATGAAAACATCAGTATCTGCTCAACAGCATTTATTTTATTATTAGTCTCTGCCAATGTGCCACAAATACCTGATACTATGTTTCCTTTAAAAAAAAAACAAAAGTAGCAATGCAGTGTGTTTATATCAAAATATCAAAATAAAGATAAATGTATCTGGCATATAAAAATATAATTTATGTGTGCTCAAAACAGAATCAGTTGCAAAAATCTTGACTCATTGATAAATCATTTTAATGAGGGTTAGTAATATTTACAATATTTAGTAATATTTACAATATTAATAATAACTATAAGTGGAGCCTCATTATTATCACCAATGTAATTGTTTTCAGTAATAATACTGAACAGTGATATTTTGTGTAGCACCTTTAAATCAGTTCACTACACCCCTTGACGGCGTGGCCTACAAGTAGTTCTGCTTTTCACCTCCACGTCGGCTTTCTGTAAGTCCGAGACGATCTCTGCAGCAAAATACAGTACGTGACGCAACTCAACATGGCAACACACTTCAAAGGCGGAGGCAATGTGGGGAAGGGAGTGTGATGCGATTTTTCGCAAAAGCTGCAATTTTAACACGTAAACTGCAACAAACCCCGCTAAAAGCTGTTGCTTTTGCTTTAATAGCACGCAAACATTGTTGAAAAATTAAAATCTCGCACTTGTTTTCGCCGAGAGAAAAGCGCACGTCGCTGAAATTTCACCGCCCACTCTCCAGCAAGGAAGCATGGCATGCCACACGACCTGCTTCTTGCGCACCCATTTTATGATGACCGTCCTCTGCTCGACGATGCCCGACTTCCCTGCCCCTCTCCAACTTTCTGCGGGGTGACAAACTGAGAGTAACGCGTTTCCAAAGCAAATTATCTCGATTCGCACAGTAAAATAAAGCATTTGTGTTACAAGCGTGTAATTTGATCTTTACTCTTTGTTATTCCACAGCCGCGTCACTGCAACTGTCCACATCCAACTAAACATGTGCGCAAAGTTCAAAGCGACTGCCTTCGTATGGTCGGTTTCCACGCATTATTCTTGCACAAAACACAATTTGTGAGGCAGTTTGAGCTCCGTGGGGCGTTCACGAACAGTTTGTGTTTAGCAGGAGGTGTTTTGTTGACAGCGGCGCCCGCGTGTTGAGACGCATCTCTACTCCGGGTGGGCGTGAGAGATTCAACTTGGCATCGATATGTACAGCAGACCAAAATACCCACTATTTCGACTTACTGCGCTGCAATGATGTTTAAAATCGGGACTAAAAAGCGCTTAAAAACCGACTTCAGTTAAACTGCATGTGATAAAACGAGTGATTCCCTCACAACCGAATGCACCAATAACAACCTCAATCTGCTTCTAATGTCTGCATTTCAAGTCCTCCTGATCTTCCCTTTTTTCCCCATTTTTTCCTCCCACTTTCTCGAATTATTTCAACCATTAACAACATGACCTACAGCTGAGCATGCTGGAAGGCCCCAAAACAACACCAATTGTTCAAAGACAACTCGAAGCTTGCTTTTAATTACACATGTGAAAGCGCAGCAAAGACTTTAAGAACCAGCCTGAAAAACGCACCGAAACAAACGTAAACCGCTCGCTGGTGTTACCTTGTTGAAAGTTTGGTGAAGCTGACACAAAGCAAGTATCCCTGAAGAGCGTCGTAGCGGCGTAAGTATTAGGAAAAACGAACCCGCATCAGTAAACCCGCTCTCTTGTTGATGTCTGTGCTTGAGGACGGGACTGGATAGTTGTGAAGCTACTGCGCCTGCGTCACATCCACACCTCCATTTCAGAGTAGAGCGCAGGTCCCCCTCTATTTTTTTTCTTTTTTCTTCAATCAAACTATTTACATAAACGACGTGTGACGTAGGTGTGCGTCTGCGCTCGGCTGGCCTTATAAGGATGGGAATATTACGCGGGAACAGGGGGCTCGGCCCTGGTTGCTATGGCGTATTGGAGAATGTAAGCAAAGGGGCGGGGCTTGTTGTTTTACTACACGACGCCAGATGGCTCGTCTAGGGGCCTGCAGTTTTTCAGGAGACTCGGCGTCTAGAGCCGAGATGGGCTTTGTTGACTTAAAATTCACACCAAAACAACCAGATTAGTGTTCAAATAAAAGGTGGATAAAGTTTGATCCCCAGACTCACTGATCACAGGAAACAAACAAACATGTCCCATTTACTATTATTTCATTGTAAAGCAATTAGAATACAACAAGATGTTATCTTTAATGATAAATTAAAAAAAAATGAAAACTATTGGAAAATTATGTGTAACTAAAAAATATGTTTACATAAAGATTTTTGAAAAACTGGAGTGCAGTAAGCCTCTTAATCTGATGCGCGTCAATAAAATCAATGCAGCGTTGAGGTCTCAGAGTTGTTTTGGAAAACAGTAGTGAACAAACAGCAGTGTTTAATTCTGGAGAAGCTGCAAAAACCCACAGCTCAGGTGGGAAATCTGTTGGCAGGTAAGCTGTCAGTCCTTTATCCCATAAATCTGGGTTTTGCATAGCAGTAAGGTGAGGTAATTTTATTTATATAGCACATTTTCAGAAACAGAGCGGTCCAAAGTGCTTTACATGAATTAAAAGAAAATACAAGCAAAGCAACAAACCAAAAGAAAGACAAAAAGTAAAACTACATATTAGTTCCCCATGTTTAATAAGAATAAGTAGGGATAGTAAAGCGATTAGTAAAATAAAAACAAAACAAAAACCCATTGGCAGTTTGCCACAATCCAGCAGTAAACATAAGACAGAAGCTGCTCTGTTCAGATGTTAAGCTGTAACAAAAAGACATTTGGTCTAAAACATCATAATCACAGATTGTGATCATAATCAATATTTTCATCACAATTTTCAGCCTTAGAAAGTAAAGATTTCTCTGAGGTTGTGCAGAAAACTGCCGCTGTGCATCACCATGAATACATTATTTGACACATGATGGAGTAGCATACATTCTGCTGAGGATGCAGAATCTCAGGCCTTTCACCCGCTGGAAAATGTTGGTCTTTAAGATCCATGGAGTGATGATGTTTTAATTATTCTCAAGTTAGCTGCATAATCAAAAATAATACAAGTATTATTTGCCATTTTAATATTGAATGTTTGATGTAAAGTTATTTCAGTTCAGTTTATTTATGCAGTGCCGCTTCACAACAAGTCATTTCAAGGTATTTTACTAAAAACATTTAATTTAATTTCAATCCAATCACACATTCATAACTAGATCAGAATTAGAAAAATATTCTTTCTTCTGTGGGTCCTGTGGAAAATGCATTGTTTCACAAATTTCTGCCTGGATTTAACAGTTTGAAAAAAAAAATAGACAAAAGTAGCAGTTTAATATTTATCTAACTCTGCAGTTATTTAAAAAAAAGACAGATACTAGTCAGTTTAGTTTCTCGTTCATGTTAAAAATAAATAAATAAATAAAATCAGAGACAAAACTGCCCCTTATTCTGAGACCGTCCCATATTAGGACTGTAGATGGCGCTGTTTCTTTGTGCGTCTGAAAACAGATTTTCCACCTCTTTTTTTCCAGGGTTTTTTTTATTTTTTATCATAAACCAAATCGAGATGAACAAAAAACATATGAAACGATAAGATGTTTTCCAAAAATGTGCACTTTGTAAAACTTTAACAAGGAATTTAAAAAAGAGTCTCATAAAAAACAAAATGTTGGTTGCGTCTGAGTTTCCTAAGTTTTAACATAGAAAACCAGCATTTAGGCCAAGACAGAAGTACTGAATGAGATGTGTTTTGGTTTCTGATCTTTCATCTAAAATGCTATAAAACAGGAACCATTTATCACAAAAATATATGTATATTTTAGGTACAATGCAAAAGTATTTGCCCGTTTGGGGGTTACCGAGTCTTTCTGATTTAACGTTTTTATGACTATGAAATGTTTCAGATTAAATAACCAAATTGCTTTTACTGTGCAGCTCTAGTGTGGGAAGAAAAATCCAAAGATTAGGATTTTACTTATTAAGGAAAAAAGGCTGTCCAAATGTAATTATCCTTTAAACCAAAGAACTGGATGTGTCGCTTCAGGCACCAACAACTGCCATCAAGTGTTTGCAACGTCTGGAAATGAGTCGTTAACTTAGATCCCTGCGGAGGATCTTTTCTTACTCTTCTTCGCAGATTTGTTCTAATTTGGCCATATTACCGGGTTTCAAAGCACAAACAACCTGTTTAAGGTCAAGCCACCTAAATCAGATTTAAACATTAATTTTTTTAGCCGTTCAGAAATAGATGTTTTTGGGTTGTGCTGCTGATTGTTATTCTGCTGCATAATCAAAATGTCCTTGAGCTTAAGGTCACACACATAGAAAGACTTTGTACCAAAATACATTAAAGACCTGTTGTCCGTGCATCCATACCACTCAGGTATTTCGGTTCAAGACTAGAATCAGAAACAACAAAAGTGGCATTTATTTTTTTTCTCCTACAATATGGAACAAACCTCCAGAAAACTGCAAAACTGCTAAAACACTGAGTTCTTTTAAATCAAGGCTAAACACCAATCTGCCTTTGAGTCACATAAACTTCTGCATGGATTAATTCTAATCTGGATTACATTTTTTATTTACCTCTCTTTGTTCTGCCAGCGTAATGTTTCTTTTTATTTGTTAATTGTACTTTTTATTATGTAAAGCATTTTGTTGCTGAAATTTTCCATACAAAAAACTTGATATTCTCTTCAGTTTTCCAGCAGCAACATGAATTCATGGTGGCAAACCGTGTTATATACTGAAACACTGTTTTACACCAGATCTAAGAGGGGCATCCCTTCCAGAAAAGTCTGCTTCTGTCTCAGAAAAAAGGTCTTGGATAATAAAAATGTTTTTTGTTTTTTGGGGGGGTAAAGGTGAGATGTCCCTTTCTGTTTCTTTTGGTCAATATTAGTATTTATTTGCCATTTTTGGCTCAGTATATATATTTTATCATTATGTTAGATGTGATTCTTTTGTGACCTCCTGGATATTTTTAGCAGACTAAAAATAAGAAATAGCTTTGTAACAATTACAGAGCTATTTCTCTGTAACAATTACAAGACCATAGACATCAGTGACTTTGTTTCTCACTTGTTCCAAAATTTCTTTAGATTACATCACAATATTTTGCTTTGTGAGATATTTAGTCTACTTCATACTGCCAAGCAGGTCAGGAAGTAACCAGGCCAGGATGTGGATAGTGAAACTCAACCCCCAAAAATTACAAAAGGTAATGGCATAACAACTGTTTTATGATGATCTCAAACACTTAAGTGAGAAAAAAAACAAAAAAAAACAGAACAGCAAAGAGGCCAAATTTTGTTTTGTAAATGTTCAGAGCTACGAATTAGGGCTGGTATGATAGCTGTGATTTTCTTTTCTTTTTTATTTTGCAACAAAAACTGTCACAATGCCATATTGTATGCCAGGAGTTGTATGGTTCAGGATTTGTTGACAATAACTTATCAAAGCATACCAGCTGTGTCAATAACTTTAATTTCTCAACAGCACAAACCATGAATAACTTATTGCTCTTCCTAATCTGTATTTAAATGACAGAGACTTGGTCACAGTGGGGTACACTGATGCTTGCAGGACAGTGCAGAGGATTACATTTTAACATGTTAAATTAAATGCAACATTAACATTTTACATTTTTAACAAACCTGTGCTCTGTTATTCCCATAAGACAAATAAACAGCATGTCTATAGTTCACATGAGAAAGATGGCCTATGGAGGGACCCACTGACGCTGAAAACGTATCAATATGTAATAAAAAATAAAAACAATTGGGATTGAACGGCTGGAGCGATTCTAAGAGATCTGATGAAGCAAAAATATTTACAACGAGAGAGATTGGCGACGAGGATTCCTGATGGAGGGACAAACAGGACTAGAAGTGACACAATTAGGACACCAGCTTGGATCCAACTGGGGCTTTTCATGAGCAAGACTCTGCTTAGCATGTGACTTCAAACTGAAATTAAAAAAAAAAAAAAAAACAAGACACAGGCCAGACATGACACCATAACAAGAGCTTCATGTAACATTTGTTTATGCTTAAATTATACAAGGAGAACGTTACTTTTCACAACAATATTTACTGAGATATCAAATAAAAGACGGTTAATAAGGCCTGAGCAATGACACTTCAGATTACAACACCTAAAGTAATGAAACAAAAAGATTCTGGCCATGCAGGTTAGGATTTTAAGTGCAAGCAACACAGCAGTGAGTAGATACAGTAGATCTAAAGTCATATAAGATGGATCATGTAAGCAGATATCTCCTGCATGTTTGAGCTGATCTTTTCTCCCGGAGGAATTTCACAGTGTAGACAAACACAGGACTATTTCCTGGAGCAGATATAAGACATTTTACATCAGTGAACAAAGCGATATGTTTGGTGCTTGAAAAGTCTGCGTCTTCATCTGACGCCTTTGATCATGGAGTTACATTTTGTAAGAGTCTGAATACATCTCGTCCCTCTCGTGTGTTTTCCACGTCAGGGTCAGAGGTCGACCCCTTTGACCAGCGCCGCCTCCAGGGTGATGCTGAAGTCGTTCAGGGTTTGCAGGATGCGACAGAGGGAGTGCAGGGCAGCCCGATCCCGCAGCAGAGCGCCGTCCTCGTACGTCCGAGCTGTCAGGGGACACTCAGCCAGCAGGGGGAACCACTGAGACAGGAGTCTGTCCCTGCAGAGATGGTAACCAGGTTTTGGTGAAAAAAACAATAATAAAACAGTTTGAAGAAGCCATTACTTCATAGATTCGATTCTGTCATGCTTTGGCTATTTGTTGTATTATTTTTGTTTC